TCCATGTTTGTGCTCACAAACCCCTGTTTTGTGGATGTTCTTATGCATCCAACAGAAATACAACTTGGCAGCTGTCATGAAACTCCACAGAAACAATTGGCAGTTGCAGGCAAAAAAAAAAATAGAAAAAGACACACCCAAGGGCTAATACTATGAATCTTAGAGGGGATTATATCCTTAAAAATTGATTTTGAGTAGATTAAAACCTTGTGGCAAGGGCTGGTGGAAGTGTGGTGATAACTTAGTGTTGGCAACGGAGTGCAATACCCAAAAGCAGAGCTGGCAGGAATAAAGATCCTCGTTACCTGACCACAGCAATAATGTGGCAAAAACAGAAGGTGATTCAGACAGCAACCTCTGCCAAAGAAGGAAAGAAGGATGGCTCTACAAGATTGTGTGGCTATTTTTATGGAAAACAAAGTTGTTCCTCCCCTTCCAAAATGGACCCTAATAAAAGCAATTGTTTTACACTACTTGCTGTGTTAGAATGTAGTTTTCATCAAAGAAATTTTATTGTTCTTCTGTTTATTTTCAGATTCAGACATTTCCCGTGAAATGTTTTGTTCTTTTATTCCCCTTGAAAGAAAAAGAAGCTTTAAAAACTACTCCACATGTTCAAGGTTTTTCTTATTGTCTCTCTGACTGCCAATTCCAAATATTTGCTTTCCAGAGGTTTTTATTGTTCTCCACCATGCCAATTTCTTATCAGATGAAACAGGAATTAACTTGTTTTGCCTAATTTAGGCCTCTCCATTTCAAAATATTCTCTCTTCAAAATATTGATGTTAAATACTTTTATTTTCCTATGCAAATGTGTGAATGTTCAAGCCTTTTGCACAGTATCCACAAGGACTCTAACTTGATCAACATGTGCTTTTCCATTCTTAAAGTTCTTTATGATCTCTGTTTACTTTCCATTTTAATGATTTCATTTATTAATTCCGTATTAACATTTTTAACTGAAAATTTTGTCTCTTCTTCTGGATTGGTTTTATAATTTATAAACCCTTATCTAACTGCATAAATATAAATAGATCCCTTTAAAAAGAATGCCATGATTACTGAAAATCTAAAATATTGCTTTTTTTAACTCTTCAGGTGCATTGCTTATAAATGTAATATATCTTTTTGTTTGGTGTAACATATTAAATATCTTTAATAATATATAATAAACATATAATAATATCTTTAAGGGAATCTGTTAAAAAAATCATACGTGGGCAGGACTGATTCCTATTTTTTGAAATCCTTGCATAACTGTTATAATTTTCTTTCATGCTGAAGACCAACAATCTCACCAGTTAGTTCAACAGGAGTTGCCTCCAGTGCTAAGTTTGGTGTCCTGGCCCTGCTCCAGACAGGCATTTTGCCAGGATGGGGAGCAGACTGCAGTGGTGGTGCTGATGGATGATCATCCCTTGTTTCTAGACAAGAGCTATATATCCAACTTCTATTATTGCACCACTCAATAGCATTAATATAGTTAAACTTGGGGTTCGTCTAGATCCTATCACAGATGTGGCAAATTTATTGACTTTCTTTTCCGGTGACTTTATCATTCTTTTTTCTCTGCACCTCAGAGTCCAGACCAGTATTTCCTCTGGACCCTCCATCTATAATTTCTTGTCATGGTTTGTCAGCAATATCCAGGTGGCATGCATCAGCTTCTCTGGAGATGCAAGCACCAGCAGTCTCTTCTGGTTTCCAAACAAGAGCTTCATTCTTTGGAAACCCATCTGGATTTTCCATCACTGCTATGCATAATAATAGGCTTTAGTTTTCAGAGAAGGATTTTCTTTTCCTGGATGTTTGAGAGTTGATGCCTGTGCATCCTCTCAGTGCTCATGCTATGGATGAAAGCATTTCATTCTCAGTTTAACACACTGGGAAAATGAAGCAACTGATTCAGGAGGACAGAGAATTTAAACCTGGTCAGGGTTAATATCTGTTCGTGCCTTCAGTAGTCTTGCTATTGACCTTAGCAGGGCTTGGATTAGTGCCTGCAAGATGTGGAATTAGATTTCAAGAATTATTGACTGAGTCCTCTTCAGTATACCTCAGCACAATCACCTTCTGAAGGCAGAGTCCCGGCACTCCTAGAAGGACATTCCATGAGTGTTGGACTGGACCCCAGCACTTTGATCATGCTCCTGTAGATTGATTCTAGTTGTAAAAGAAACTGATGACAAAGCCATGTACTTATTTAACACAGGCAAAGTTACTTAGAAAGTCACATCTACTTGGATGTGCCAGGAATAAGTGGCAAATAATTTTCTTCTGCTTAATTCACAAACCTGTTCTGATTAACATGCAGCCTAAAAACTCCTCCCCATGCCCAGATTCACAGTTTGTGGACATGAGTTTCCCTGTGGCCATCTCCCTTAGATTTGTTTTTCTCTGTGTCTGCAGCACTGCCAGAGGAAAATTCAGAGAGCTGTAGCTTATTGAAACCTGCCGTCTTTGCTCTGGGTGAGAACGTGTGCCTGTGGTTTGGGCAGAGTTTGCAGTTATTTCATGTCACTAGCCCTGGAGAAAAGCTGAAATGTATCTGGTGGTTGTCTTAAGGACAGAATAGCAAAAGCTAAATACACCTTGTGTTAGCACTTGACAGATGATGACCTTTTTCCTTGGCTGTGGCATGGGGCCTGAAAGGTACTTATGGGACAGGGAGAGCTTGGCCTTCTGTCCATCATCTTGTGCCTGTGCTTCAGAATGCTGCAGCTCTACTGTGGATATTGCATTCAATATGAAATGTCATTCCTGGCTGGGACTGTAGCAGACCCTTCACTTGTCCAGAGGAATGGACGAAATGCCTCATTTGGCATCTCCTGGTGCCAGGGGAGGACTGGTATGGCACAGTGTGTTGTGTGCTAGTGTGATGACCTGCTTTGCATGCCATGGAGCTCTGTGGGATGTTTTAGCAGGGAGTAACAAAGATGGAGGTTAACCCACAGCCAGAGAGTGCTGCACAGGGTGGTCTTCTGTGACTGTCAGAAGCCTGACTTGTAAAACCAAGATTAAGATTATTAGCATAGCCTAAGGACATCTTTGAATTATGTGTTGCCCTTTCACCTCTAACTTCATTTCCCAGCATTCACCATGAATATTTAATATATGGCCACCAGTGCATCTTGCAGAATAAACGACAGCCTCCAAGTTTCAAAGCTAAATCTGAAAAGCAATGCATACATATCGATACTGGAAAAAAAAGCATCACACCCAGAGCAAATCCTTTTTCAAAAACCCACTTATTAAAAAAAGTAATGTAATATCATGACTTTTCATTAATACTAGTCTTCACTAAGCCTAAAGCAAATCCTTGCTTACTGTGCACTTGCTATGCTTGTAGTACAGGACTGCCTGAAGGTGGTGAAGGCTCACAGTCAGTGCCTGAAGAACAGGGAGCGTGCAGCTGAGACAGATATGAGCTCCTTTAGAGTAGTTCTCAGTCCTCAGTTGTCCTTCCTGGAGAATATGATTATGGATGTTTCACAGGAATAATAATGCTAATTTTCAGCCCCCACAGAGCGTTTTACACCTGCAAAGTCCTATAAAAATGTGAGCTAATACTCGCCAGTAAGTCAGTAGTGCTGTGCCTGTTTTATAGATGCAGAACCAAAGATACAGAAAGGTCAGAGGCCTGACCCAGGGCCACATAGCTTCTCAGATGCAGATTTAGGATGAAGAAACTGGTGTCTCTCTGGTCACATTTCATTAATCATGCTGCCTTCTTAAAATTAGCTCAAAGCTCATATATATACACCTTTATATGTGTGTGTGTATATGTATGTATAAAATGCTTGAGAAGAAGTTGTTTCCCTCTTCCCTCTTTGCTTCTTCAAAATAAACAAGCTCCTGAGCTACCAAACCCCATGTTTACACGTATCATTAAATACTTTCCAGTTGCTAGCCAGAAAACTCAGCAGAAAATGTGTAGAACACCAAAGTAACTCTCTTCTTTTAAATAATTGATGATGCCAAATAGCAGCAGTGTTATGCCAACAAAGAGATCGGTCTCTCAAAATATTTTATTCATTTTGCCTCAAGAAACCCAAAGCCTTGTTTTTTGTGAAAGCGAATTTCAGAAGTTGGCTCTCAATTCCTCTGAAACATCTGCTTATTACAATTCTCGGTGTTAAAGCACTGGTGCTCCCCGGTAAATCTTTCAGCTTTAAGTAATACGTATGGAAGTCTTGGCAAGGAGATCAGGAAGGAGAAAGAGAAATGCTTGCCAAATATTCATCTTACTTTATGAGGCTGTAGTGGTATATGTTAATGGTATATGTGTTGAGGTGAATCTACTAATCTGATTAAATAACAGGACAAGAAGGAATTAATTCCAAGGTTCAAAAAGACTCCCTTCTCTGCAGCTGTAAATTTATATTCCAGGATAAAATGGTTAGAAGTCTTGGCTAATTAGACATCTATAAAGCAGCCAGAAATTGATCTTTCTCCATATTGTTTGTAAATCAAGGTCGCTTATGTGAGAAGGCTATGTTGTGATAAATCTGTCTGACAATTAGATGGAGAGGACATATCAATGTTAAATCATATTCTTTTTATGCTTTGGGCAGAAAGCAATATAAACACCACAGTAGCATTATGAAAAGAAAATTGCATTCCAGATAATAACAGATATTCATGGTGCATGGTTTTACACGTTAATGTTCTACATTTTACTGAGTCATGTTAATATTTTAGATTATGTAACATCCCTTCTTTATGCGTGGTTTATTTTTTTTTCGCTGAGAATGCAGCTTCCTCCTCCTCATCCCCCTCCCCCTCTTCCTTTCCCTTTCTCTCTCCTTCTCCCTCTATTCTTCCTATTTCTCTGCCTTTTCCATTTTTCCATTTTTCCTTTTGCCCTTGTCCTAATTCTTACAGTGGTGCTTGTGAAACAAACAAGGACAATGGACTTAAAGGGAAACTGTCCAAACAAGAAAATTTTAACAGGTAGTTTCGAGATTTATAAGCCAGGATTTTATGTTCTATGCTTACAGATTCAATCTGTGTACCAGGCTTTGATCCAAGCCTGAGCATGATGACTGGAATCACTCCAATTAACCCAATGATACCAGGCATGGGGTTAGTGCCGCCACCACCACCAACAGATGTGCCTGTAGTCAAAGAAATAATTCACTGCAAAAGCTGCACACTCTTTCCTCCAAACCCAAGTAAGTGCATCTGAAGAAAGAATGTTATTTTCCTAAATACATTGCATGAATATTTTTTTATCTAATAACGGTAATGCTTTATAATTACAGGCATGTGTGGTCTTTCCTCCGATGGTCTATTCTGTGTGTAAAGCATGGTATGGTATAAGTGCATCCTTATTCACCTCTGTAAGGTCACATAAAAACCTGTGAAGCTTGTACAAAAGAGAAAAATACTTAAAGAAAAGTAGCAGCCTAAAGATCTACACTTCTCATAGTTTATACCTGTCTTTCCTGTAGATCAGGATGTCACAAAACATAAAGCTTACATGGTGCTGTTCATCTCTGTGCTCCCCTTCAGGTGCCTGAAGTTAGACGGGACCAGTCCAGGCTTGTGTCCCTGAACAGGGACTGTAGGGGTGCAGTACCTTGCACCCCAAACTGCCTCTCTACAGTCCCTTTTTGAGGGATATGGAGAGAAAGGGGGCTACAGCTTCTCTTCTGCCATTTTTCAAAAGGTTCGACGTGGCAGATGAGTTCCTTTTTCTTTTAGAAAGCAGGGACCAGGTTCCTTCCTGTTCCTGATGTGACTGTGCAAATGGAAATTTCTTCCCACTCAGATACCAGCTCAGGCACAAACTCTGATTTTGAGTGTTGGCTCCATGAGTTTCAGACCCATGATACCAGTGACTTTCAATATCACTGTGAAATGAAAACATTGAGCAAATATTCAGGTGCTCTGGATTTGCAGTGCATCCAGATCACAGTTTAATCAAACTGGTTATGTATGTGAGTATGTATGTATGTATATGTATAGACACTTTAGGGCTGCAACCTCCTTTACTGTGTTAAAGGGCAAAAAAATAAGTAATATTAGTGATATTCATTCTTAAAAAATTACTTTCACTGTCTATAAACAAGGTGAAGTGTTATGATAGCTTTTATTTTTTATACAGCTTTCAAAAATTTAATAGTTTTTCCAATATAAATGTGTATAAATTCTCTCTCTATGTACATGAAGGTAGCATTTTTAGCTACTCCACCTCACGAGCACTTGTAAACAATGAGGTTATCCTTCCCCTGTGCTGCCGTCTGCTCCATTATCTGGCAACAAGACAAAACAGATAACCGGCAGAGTGTTTTCATCATGCTGTCACTTTGTTGTGTTTCCCACTTTGTTTTTCTGTTTGCTGTGCTCCTGTACACTGAGACAGAAATGAAATTATGCTAATACCAGGAAAAGGTGTCCAGTCCAAGTGCACAGGGTGTACGCAGCATGGGCTTGCTCACAGCCCACACACATGGTGAGCATGGCGAGTGATGGGTATGAGCCAGAGATGGTGCAGTTCAGGCTTTGAATGCACTGCACTGGAGCCTGAGATCTGTGCTCAGGGTCCAATCAGGTGCAGAAGCTCCTCTGCTTTGGAACAGAATATTTTTCTGCATTTTGTGTGGCTGTACAGGGAGGAGAAAGACCCTTTTAGGCCACACTGTCTGTCCTGGTGACAAACCTGCAGTGGCAGGAATAAATGTTTGAAGTACTACCTGAAGCTTGAAAAGGTTTAGATTCAAGTAATCAATTTTGGGCAATCTCTGCAATATTCAATTATTTTTCTTGTCCCTCTCTTCTGCCTCTATACTGTGTCAGGTAACTGTTGCTGCCCAGAACTGATTAAAGGGATGAGTAGAGCCAATGAATCAAAAGACAAATTTTGTATTCCAATGTGATCTCTGTTTTGACTTAGATCTTCCACCACCTTCAACAAGAGAGAGACCTCCTGGGTGTAAAACAGTGTTTGTTGGAGGATTACCAGAAAACGCAACGGAGGAAATTATTCAGGAAGTCTTTGAGCAGTGTGGAGATATAACAGCAATTCGGAAAAGCAAGAAGAACTTTTGTCACATCCGTTTTGCAGAGGAGTTCATGGTTGATAAAGCCATTTACCTTTCTGGTACTTCACATTCTTTAATGGATTTTTCTTGCTTCTCATTTGTATTTTGTGATGCTAATGCTTGCTTGTTTTCTTAGCTTTTATCTCAGCAAGTCTTTCTTGAACTCAGTGGCTGGAGCATGAAGTGGCAAGGGGAAATTCTGTTATTTCTCCCTGTCTTCCAAGACTCATGCATGGTGTTGTATGTTACTTACCTGGGAGCAATTTCCTGCCATGCCACAACAATGCAACAGATCCTGAAATTCACTACAGAACAATCTTATTTTTGATTTACACAGGTTTATATAGTTTTGCTCACAGGTTATGGAAAGAGGAGGGCACCAGGCCAGGAACTCTGCTGTTTTCCAGTGCCAATTTTTCTGATAGGCTGGCAATTTCACTGGCATATTTTTATAGATCTGTGGTGCAGCCTGAATAAAGTCTGTCTTTATGCATGCATGTATTCAGCTACTGCATGGGTTAGATTCTGAGCCCCATCTGTAGGCTGCGTCTGTTGCCTCCCATAACAATGAGTGCTGCAGAAATTACAGGGTGTAAAATTTCAGAATCTCCTTGTTTTCCAACAAAGGAACAGACAAAAAAAAAAAAAAACCAAAATCAGACAAAAAAACCAAGGAAACAACCCCCTCCTCCCCCAGTTTCTAATTCACAGGGGAAAAATTAAGAAAAAAAGATGAAAAACAAGTCTGCTTTCACATTTTTTGGCTTCTGTGACTGTCAGTGTCCTCTTAAGGTTAATTTCTGTCATTTGAGGATTGACTTGCTAAACAAGTCCTTTTTACCTTACTGAGTTGGCTCCCATGCACTGTAGTATTTGTCTGCACTCCACAGGCTGGTTCATCCATCTTTCTGGGTCCTGGAGAGACTCAAAAGCACTGTTTTGCCTGACAGTTGTGGTGTAACACTTTCAACCCATCTACAGTGTGTTCTTGAATAAACAAGGTCCAGGGAGTGCTGCTTGGCCAAGACAAGCTGGCCCAGACTGGCTTACTTACACAAACTCTGTGTTAGGTGACCTCAAAGCACCCACTGGGACCATCCTTTTGAGCCTGGGAGAGAGTAAACAGCCCAGGACTCTTCTCTGAGCTCCAACCCTGACCATCTTCTGTTTAGCAATAAGGACAGAAGCTCAACATCCTGTAGGTGTCCATAGGAAGCTTCCCCAGCTGGAAACAAGCTGTCTCTCAAATCACCATCAACTATATAGAGAGAAAGAGAGAGAAAGAAAGAGAAATACAGAAAGAAAGAGAGGGGGGGGCAAGAGAGAGAGAGAGAGGAAAAAAGGAAAGAACGAGAGAGAGAGAGAGAGAGGGGTAGAGAGGGAGGAAAGAAAGAAAAGAAAAGAAAAGAAAAGAAAAGAAAAGAAAAGAAAAGAAAAGAAANAGAAAAAGAAAGAAAGAAAGAAAGAAAGAAAGAAAGAAAGAAAGAAAGAAAGAAAGAAAGAAAGAAAGAAAGAAAGAAAGAAAGAAAGAAAGAAAGAAAAGAAAGAAAAGAAAGAACAGGGAAAAAAAGAAACAAAAAGAAAAGCAAGAAAGAAAGCAAGAAAGAAAGAAAGAAAGATGGATGTCATCAAGAAAAACCTAGCTCCTTTGTTTCTCAAAGGTTTTCTTTAGGGTTTTTAGGTTGTCTGAGGTTTATTTTCCTAACTTGGCTGCTTGCTTTAAATACCTGTTTGAAGAACTACAGAAAATAATGAGTTTTATGGGGTTCTTTGTAAAGATTTCTTTGAAATATTGCTGTATTTTCAGGTTTATGCCAGATCTTTACTCCACTCCAGATTTGTCTTCCTTTTATTTTTTTTTATTTTATTTTCACTTCAGTTCTTCTGGCCCCGCCTCCCCCATCCTCTCTTCCTGATTTCCATGCTTCTCATTTATTTGTTTATTCATGTTACTTCCAAAATTCTGTAATCATTGCAGCAGATTAGAGGCATCACAAGCAGCAGCACATCTACCAGCTTCCAGCTTCTATTTAGGGGACCCTAGTGACACAGCAGAAGAGGGGCACACCAGATTCAGTTGGAACTGGTATTACTGTATTATGATAAAGGAAACAGTGGCAAAAAAGAGAGCAAAGGAAAGCTCAGAAATATACAGGCTGCCACCCTGGACCAGAACCAGTGTTCCTCTAGCTCAGTTTCATGCTTCTCAGCAGTACCAGAGTGCTCACTCAGAAGACAGGACATGAGTAGAAATGGAGGTGAAAGATTCCTTTCCTCATGCTTCCTCATTCTGAATTTTTTGCAAATTTCATTCCAAGTTCCTGGTGCATCATTCCTTCTTCTGTTTCCTTCCATCACAGTCATGCTGCTGCCTGTGCTTCCTCTTATGTCTGCTCTGCAGCCTCCCTTCCCATCCATTTTTTCCTCCACAGCTCTTCATTCTTCCAAAGTGTTGTACCTACTGTCTCCAGCCAGACAAGGGAAAGAGCCAGTGCAACTGACAGGGATGAGAAAGGAATGCAGGAGCACTCTATAGGCGAGTTCCACTTCTTTTTACCAAGGCTGCTGAACAATGCAGATGACACATGAAGCACTGACTGTCCCCCACCACTCCCAGGGAGGGGTGGCACTAGGCAGGGGCATGTTTTTCTTGTGCTGAAATACAGAGTGGGGGGGTTTACTAGTCTTTATTCCATTCTCAAACATAATATATTCTGAAATAGTGGGAACAAAGCTTATTTTTGAGGCATTTTATTTCCCTGTAAGAGACAAAAGAGATATACAAATATAATATGTGTGTTATGTTAGGGGAAAGTCATGCTTTTGATATTTCTGGTATAATGATAATTTTGTCTACCTAATCAGTTTTATCTATCTATCCCATCTAATCTCATCAAGTTTTGCATTTATCCCATGCTTATCATCAGAATAGAGCAAGTGATTACAAAATCCATCAAGCAGTTTAATCACTGGAGTTTTTTTTCCCTTTGTACTCCCAAGTAAACATGTATGAAAAGGGAGACTGGAAGATGGGTAGAAGACTATCATAAGAATGTCAGCTTGAGGAAGGCTAGGTTTCATTTAACCTTTAAAGATGTATTTTGATCTCCCAAAGAAAAGACTTTCCAAAATCATCATACCAGCCCATGAGAAAGCTCTTTCTCAAAACTGTATGTACTTTAATCTTTTGGCTGAAAATTTGGTAACTCCTGCAAATATTGATGGCCCCAGAGCTGAATATATGGGACAAACAGGTGTCTGGAGCCAGACCTGTTTATACCCCAAAAGCCCATGTGTGCATTTTTCCTGTGCTGATGTTTCCTCCGTGGGTTTCGATTCAGTACCATTTACTTGTTTCATTTTAAGTTCTCTCTGATCACCATTAACACTCTGATCTAGATCCCCAGTTAGCCCTCAGCTATTGGCTGGTGTCCAGTATAGCAACACTCAAAGGTAAGTCAAGCCATGGAGTTTGAACTAGACCTGTGATATGAAAATACTGTTTGATTTTTATTTAGCACTTTCATTAACTTTTCCTGTTTCTGCTCCTTTAAAGTGAGGATCTTGGCAGGTTCCCAAAGCCTTTTCGTCTTCCACTGTGTGCAAACCTGAAATTAAAAATAACAAGCCAGGCACAAAGTTAATGCTAGCTGCAGCCCTGAGCAAAGAAATGGGGAAAAAAATTCATTGCCCATGCATGAAGGGGAGGCAGTGCCAGGTGTTTCTCTTATACATTCAAATACCCTCAAACATCAATAGGGAGACATGGTATTGAAAAAACCAAGCCTCCCAGCTGCCTTGAGGCTCAAAATTTCCACCACAGATGGGTGCCTGAGGATCTCATGTACAAAACAGAGCCTGCCAGTTGTGCATGCAGAGTCCTTCTAGTTATCAAACCATCAAGGAGTCGGTTCTTCACTGGCCAGGTCATTGGTCCTATAGTGCCTGCAAAGCCCAGTATATGAAGATGCAAGAAACTGTCCTTAAGGCATTTGTTGTTTTTGTTAAGGGAAAGATGCCAAACTGTGACCATTCTGATCTGACTTTGAAGCTAACCCTGCTCTGGACTAGGTGGTTTCCAAGGTCCCTTCTTAGCTAGGTTATTCTAAGTTTCTGTGCTGGTGGAAATCACTTGGCTGGCTGACCACTTTCAGTCTTTAGAGTTAAACAAGCAGTCACATTTTTTTAATGTGATTCATGGTAAATTTCCAAAATCTGTTAATTTGGTTTCCCAAAGGGAACCATTTGTCCAGTGCTACTGTAATGTACACTGTTCAGGTTTTTTTTTCCCATTTTCTTCAAAAGTGAGGGCCACTTTAATATAACTTAGTTTTGCCACTGCACACAAAACCTATAGATGCACAGTCCTTTTCATTAGCTCTTTATTTAGCTTATGTGAGGGGCCTTGAAGTCCACAAGGGCTTTGCCTCCTGCAGTGCTGTTTTTCTGTCTCTGCCCATAACTATTGTGCTCCCGCCAATGGAGGCGAAAGACAGCAGGGGGAGAGGAAGAGAGATTGAGTCTTCCTGGAAAGTGCAGCCCAGCTGGGAGATCTAATTTTAGGTTCACGAGACCTGGCACCTTGGCAGTGTCCTTTTCATTGCTGATAATGCTGTTCTGGCACAGAGCAAGCAGTGTGTGAGGAATGCAGCTGGCACGCCAAACTGGCGGGGAGCAGGGGGCTAACATTTGTCTCAGTTATCAGGGTAGCTGTACCAATGACCCCTTTTGGCTGACTCCTTTGTGCCTACACCTCTGTGGACAAAACCATATAATTACACCCTCATTAGTTCAGAGCCCAGTTCTGAAAGGTCATCCATGCTCTTCTTCTATTATCTCACACTGAATAGGGTGTATCTGTAACTCTTCCCTTCAACACCTTGGGACTAGAGCTACATGTATGGCCACAAAAAGGTTTTGGGGTGAAAGAGTGGTGTTTGCTTCTCTAAGCTAGAGAAAGGAAAGCCAAGAGGAATTTAAAATATTAAACCGTCCCCTCCTTTGCCACTCCTACAAGATCCAGTTTTACTTCATCCCAAGCTCCTGAATCTTGGAGACCAGATTTGATAGGTTCCATTGGCAGGAACCCACCAAAACCATCCCTTGGTAAAGCAGTTTTTTATGCCTTTTGGTTTTGAAGGACCTCTGAAACACTTAGCTCAAGTTTTTCAACTGAGTTTGCACTCCTTGCTGGACAATGAAAGTCATATCTTTTCCTCACCTGCAGACTCCTTAGCTAAAGGAGGTGTTTGAAAGGAAAATGTGAAATCAAAAGGCTCACAGATTATTTTTTTATTTGAAGGATCACTACATATATGGATATTTAATGTCTTTGAAGCTATTGTGCTCTAGCACAAACAATCCCTTTTATTCACACAGCAGGATGTTTTTCCAGTAGTAAAACAGAGTATGCCTAGATACACATTTCTTCAAGGATGTGCTTAATCTACTACACAATTCTCAGCTTTGCTCTTCCTGGAGGAAGCTCAGAACTGAGGTTTAACTGTGGTGGTGAGGTGCTGAAGCTCTTAAAACCACAGGCAAACCACAAGACTGGAAGGTAGGTTCTTTTGGATTGCAGATCAAAAGCAGCAAACACCATTTTTACTGACATTTTGAATAGAAGTTTCCTCTCCCTGGAGTTATTACGCAGTGGTTGCAGTAGTGTGCATTTCTGAAGAGCTTCCTATGTGCCAGCTCAGCACAGAATTCATTTCTGCAGCATCCTGTCATTTGAGAAATCTCTGCTGGGCTGTCGTATGTTGGCATGGAGAAATTAGAGCTATCTTGTGTAGATTGATTAATTTTACTCACATTTGAAGGCTCTTTTTGAAGCCTTCTGCATTGTATTTTCTCACACGTTCTCAGAGATGGCATTTTAAAAGTTAGACAAACTGCTCTGTGTATATATTTGTGCCTTAGAAATAAAACTTGAAAAAAAGACAGGTGCCCAGATACGGCCACAAAAAGCTCCTCTTATAGCTTTGGCATGATTTTTTTTGGACTGCTGGCAGTAGTCAATAGTTTTAGTTCAGATCATGACTCTTTAGTACTACTGTGTAGCCCTTAGCTTAAAGTTTTGCAGTGTTACTTTTTGCAGCTAACTTTAGAATATGATACATGGACCAAATTATGAATATGCAGAGTATCCCTAAACATAAGGCACAACAGGTTTCATTATTTGTCCTGAAATGAGTCTTGCAAATGCCTTATGAATCTGTCCCTACTTTAGAAATTACCTTAAGAAATGATGAACTCAATTAATTTGTAGGTGTTTTGTATTTGCTGCTAGATTATTTTCACTGGGGAATTTGAAAATAATGGTTGCAATTGTAAAGTGTCTAAATTTGAGATCTGGCATCACTGTAGTTATGGAACCATCCTCTTTGTGACGCAGGACTTTATGTAGCACAATTCCCACATTCACCAATAGTTATGGCTTTTAGAAAGTTCAGCCTTTCCCCATACTTCCAGTTCCTTTGGCTGGGTGGAGAAAAACATTAGACTGAACATGATCTCAACAGGATCAGTGGAAGAAGGACTCCCCATCTGGACTAAAACAGATCTATTTTAAATAATTGGTTTTTGTTTATCTGACTTTTTTTAGAAGTTGGAAGTGTCATGTGGAAAAATTACGTATTTTGAGAGATTTCTAAACAGAAATGTAATTTCCATACCTTAGGGTTGACTTTTCAGTTCATCTACTATGATGATAGGTGTTGTAGGAAATGGTGAAGAAAAATGAGTGGATGGATTTTTATCTTCTTGTGAAAACATGGTGATTGATAGATATTGCATAGATATGTGGGAATCTGTTAATCTATATTTTTTCCTGGCTGCACTTGAAAAGGGGGAAAAAATGAAGAGCAATTTGAGCAAATAAATCCTGCAACAGTTAGTTCTACTTGTTGATTTCAGGTTACCGCATGAGATTAGGATCTAGCACAGACAAAAAGGATTCAGGTCGCCTTCATGTTGATTTTGCTCAGGCAAGAGATGACTTTTATGAATGGGAATGCAAACAAAGAATGCTGGCCAGAGAAGAACGCCACAGACGTAAAATGGAAGAAGACAGACTGCGCCCTCCTTCACCTCCGGCAATAATGCATTATTCTGAACACGAAGCTGCTTTGCTGGCTGAAAAATTGAAAGGTAAGCAGCATTTGCTACTTCTCAGTTTATTATTACTTAAAAGGCAGAGGCCAGAGCCGTGAAGCCAGTTTCTCTCGGATGTGTTTCATTACTTGCCCTGTTAGCTTTCCCCATTGAAATGGCTGTCTTTGCCATTTCCATGCCAGTGGCAATGGCACTCACTCACCTGCTGGAAATGCATGACATCTGTCTATCTGCCTGTGCTTTAACAGCTAAAACACAGCCTTCAGAATGCTACAGATGGGGGGTTTTTTTTGTTAAGTTGCTGACATCATATATCTTGGAAATACTCTCACAGTAAGACAACCTGTTGCAAGCATCCTTCTTCACATGAAAGGCCTTATTCTTAAAATTACTCTAATCCTTGACATGTAGGTTACTCCATCACATGCACTTGACTGTCCCTGGCATTCAAATTGTCCACATGAGCTGACACAACTTATCTCTGACACACACCATTCCTTCATTCACTCCCTCTTTAGGGTTAGAATTACTTGTGCAGGATAGTGTCATGTTTTGGTATGTGTTTGCTTTTTTCTAGGTACAATTACTGAGTTAATATTTTTCAAGGGTGTGCTTCAAGGATTCATTTTATTTTAATAGCTAACATAAACAGTAAGAAGCAAAGAAATAAAGTTATTCTTAGTAACAAAATTTATATATATAAAAGAAATATCTAGTAAACAACTCTTCACACCTCTTAGAGTTGTATTTATTTTCATCAAGTGTTTAGCAGCTGTGTTTGGCATTCTTTCCCCCATGATGGCCAAGCACATTGCTTAACTGTGTGCCAGGTCACAAGAAGCTGTGATTCTTGCCACTATTTCAGAATTAATGAGATTAGGCTTAGGCTATCTAGCTGTCATCACACTGGTCTCTGTTCTAACTATGAGGAATGTTTGGGGAGCCGAAGAAGGACAGTGCAAAGTGTTTCATCCTTGGAGCGTGGAGCAGAGATGCACCCTGCTGTCTCTCTGAGTACTGCATTGGTTGCTGTTAGCTGTTGCTACTGCCTCAGTCAGTTGCTAGTTTGGCTGATTCTCATCCCCACCAGATGCCCTTCTCCATAAAATAATTCATCAATCTATCTGGTAGATTGGTGAAATAACCCAGATGGGTTTATAGACCAGAGGAAGAGAGGCCCTAATACAAGAAATTGTAATTCATACCTAGCTTCCAGTCCAGTTTTAGATCCATCTGGTTTTAGTTGAATATTTTAGGAGTTAATCTTTTGTAGGGAAGTTTTCTTTATGTAGTAAGGCCTACAGGTTTCCTGAACTAAACCAGAAAATGCAAGACGTCTGGACAATTTCTTCCATATGGTTAGTCATTGCTTGGGGCAACTGAATGTGGGTTTTTGCAAGATGTTTAAGATGACTATATTTAGAAGGATTTTTCTTTTCATTATGGGAAGTTTCCATACTTAATTAAAATCTACTCCAAGCAAATCCACTCTTTGGTTCTCCTATGGGAAATTTAACCAGAACTTGACATATATGCTCAAGTTTAATATAAAAATTTTTTAGCACCATATAGACCAATACTATGTGCATAACTGTTTCTCCAGAAATAAACTTCCAGCAATGTACGTCACTTACATTAAAAAAAAAAAGGTAAGTTTTTTTTTTTATTGGTTGAAAATCATTAAAATCCAGCAAAATAATATATTGCAATTTTAAAAGTTCTGCTAATTAACAGTTGCCTTGCTGTGACTGTTGTGAAATTAAAGACACCACCCTGGATCTGTATTGATAGGTGAGGGTGGAGAATGCAGAAAAGATCCCTCTCTTCTAAGTGGGCATGAGCTGTGCCCTGTTCTAGGTAGTAAAAAAAGCAGAGTGGGCTTGAGTAGTTACACTGGTCTGCTTTACCTTGCCTATGGCATCACAGCCAGCATCTGTAAAATAGTGGCATTGAACTTTATAGGCTCCCTTGGGCAACATGGAATCACCACGAGCTCTTTGTGACATCCTAAAAAAAGAAGTAAAGCAACATTAAAGAAAATTCTCTAGCAAGGGGCAGTTCATGTAATAGACTCATAAAATCATTAAGGTTGGAAAAGACCTCTAAGATTGAGTCCAGCCATCATCATACATTCGCAATTTAAATGTGGACTTCAGATGAAAGTAGCAGAATATATATATATGTACCCATACACACACAGACATACACATATACACACACACTCACAGAGAAATATAAAACTTGGAGTTAAAATCTCACATCTCTGTATTATCAGCACATTTGTGCTGCTGCAAAAGCCTGGAGAATTCATCCTAAAGGAAAGAGGGATCACAATATGTCTGCAATTGTCAGAATTTAACTTGAGAGATTGTTTCTTCAGCAGATGCTCTGCAGTTGTTTCCTTAAGGAAGGTCATGACCTTGCTGTGGTGCCCACTTCAAAAGACTCCTGAGCTCTGTTGCCAGCTCATGAGGCAGAGCTGCAGGTGCCCAAAATGCAGGTTTCAGCTCCTGCAGTGCCTCCAGAAGTTCACAGAGCAACACCAGCTAAAAAGCAAGCCAAAATAACTAAACATATCTCAACCCAAGATACTGCTTTGCAACCACAGATGTAGATAACTTGGTCTGAATCCAAGCAACTTTTGTTGTCAAAATAACCTTGGAAATTCCTGACAGCAAGGAAATCTTATGGAGAGCAGAGATGAAGTAGGCTTATCAGCCACTCCCCTAATGTGGTCTAGATACTTACTGAGTCTGTAACACAGGTGACAATAATTTTTTTCACTTTCTGCAAACTGCAGCATAAGAGTAAGAAATCATTGTTTTGTGTAACAGACTTGGCTGGAAACCCTTGCCCCAGTGTTGTCAACATATTCCTGTTCCTCTGGTGTGCTGAAGTTACCTGGTACAGCAGTGACTGTGAGTGAGAGAGTATAGAGGAACTTTTGTGCCGGTTGGAAACAGAATTTCATTGTAAATTTTCAGCCAGGTAGTCTTTACTGGTGTGGAGTTTCACAGAGCAAAGGAACCAGTTCTCCAGTGGCTGGTGACTGGGACTGGGAATCCACTGCATCTGAGGCCTCATATACATGAGGATTTATCATATACTCTCCATTCCCTATGGACTACCCTGAATCCCTTCATATCTGCAAAGAACTCGGTTTGAACACTTAATTTTTGCGGGAATTAAAGAAACTATGGACCAGTGCAATTTTTCATCACTTTGCAATTAGTGTGTAGCAAACAGTGTTTGTTTATGTGTATCTCCTTTTCCCTTTTGCCTTTTTCCTTTTTTTTTTTATTTATTAAGATCTTCATTACTCCTGGAAATGAAGTCCTTCTTAACTCTCTCCTTGTTGGCAGTATGAACACTTTTTTCCTGCACCATTCATGTCATTAGCCTGAGCCTCGATTTTCAAAATTAAATGAGCTTCAGCATTCCAACAAGATGAGTAACATGAAGAGCATGAGATCCTTCTTATCTGTGTTTTCTTGAGAAACTACCTCAATAAATTCACAGATGTGAACTCTGGGAATCCAAGGTCATTTACAATGAAGTGTAAATGTTATTTACCTCCTTCAGCAGCCTTTGAAAATAGACCTTGAGTTCTTGTTTTGACAAAACCAGCAGAATATTGTGTCTTCTGCAATTACACTAGAAAAAAGTGACTTTCACTTCTTCTGGTTCATCGCAGCATTTGTGTGTGTCTTTGAGATTTTAATTCCTCAGTGTTAAATCAGATGTGTTATTACTGCACAGTGGAATGTGTCGGTAGATATTTAGGTTCAAATTTGCATGCTCTGACATCTGTTTTCCTGGGTGCATTATAAACAGTTAAGTCATGTGGTGCCCAGAACAAGGCACAACTGGAGATAGGCTGAACCTTTTAAGTGGAATGCTGCTCTGTCAGGTGCATTGGAACAAAACATTTTAATCTGTGCTTATGACATTTGCGTTTCAAAGCAGGATTTCAAACACTATGGTTTTCTTAATTCAAGCATATCTGTACCTAATGGTATCATCTTCAGAAATCACTTCTTGAAAATAAGATCCTTTAAAATGCTACATATGTCTGATTTGCTGTGGGTAGCTAAATAGTTCTATCACTTAACAAAGGCATCTCTTTATATCTGAATATCTGGGTTTTTAAATATTTTGAGCAAAGGAGACATAAATATGTGAGAGTTAAATACAATACCCTGGAATTTACCTCCCTTTTTAATATAGTGTTTCTTTATGAGCACGGGGAAGTTATTCATACAGTTTTTCATTTTAAGAAATATAATTTAAAAATTGAGAAGCTGCTTCTTTGCCAGGCACTGTATTATCCCCTGAAGAGAGCACAGATTGGAAATTAAAATAAATAGATGGCAGTTACAGTAGAATGAGGGATGTGCCGTGCACAAGACTCAGGTAACATCAAGCCTGACAATCTCAACTCTTGCACATGGTTTGAAATATAAACAACATTTAATTGCTTGGGAGACAGGATATTTCACTGAGAAGAAAAATACGCTGCTTTTAATATCACCTTGCAACTGGGGAGCCAGACCGGTGGAGCACTACAGAGACAGTGCAGTTATGCAGGGAGGCAAGTCTCATCCAGAAAGGCTCAAATTCAGTGCAGAGCTACGTCAGACGGGAGGCAAAGTGAGATCCTATGAACGAATCCAGTGAATACCAGGTTTAAGTGCTGCGACTCTGGGCTTTTTTTAAGCACAGATTTTTTTTATTAGTGGTATATCAGGACAGAGCCCTGAAACAGACATGTTTCGACGCTTTAGCATCAAATCTGTTCCCTCACCCTTCCTGGTTTTAGATTATCATTTTCTCCTTCCTTCTTCCATATGCTGCTGACATCTGCTGTGGCACAATACATCTGGCTCCGAGAGCCTCGCACAGGGGCTGTGAGCAGGCACGGTGCGAGGGCACTTTTGTCTGCTGGCACAAGAGCATAAGGTGGGTTCAGCTATCAGCAGCCTGGTAACCCAATTCCCTGGGCACATGCCTCCCAAAGCCTACAGGAGGTACACTCA